AAATCCAACATTTAACTTCTTAACTTCCATCTAATTTTGATGATTTTATCATTGAAGGAATTGCATAAAAGTGAACCTAAGTTAGAGATGGTTAACCTTGTGTGTGATAAAAATCACACTCTTTATTCTTTACACCTATTCCGAGAAGTTCTCATAGAGAGATCTTTTCCATTGAATATGTGCAATCATACAAAATTATTGATAAAGATTTCTTTTACCAAATAGGGCCCCAACCATCCATCATCAAAATTTTCCAAAAAATCTAATCTTTTAGCATCTTGTAAGAGCGCCAACATGCCAAGCCTAAGTGTTTTGACTTTATGTTTTTTGTCAAAGGCTATTTTTTTCCTTCTTTGTATAGCATCTATACAATGAACATTCTATCTCTTGACATCATCTAGACCTTCTAGATATTCTAATCTATCTATTAAAGATTGTTTAGTTGAAAATGTCTTTTTCAATGCAATGTAGACATGCAATTGCTCTGTGAATCTTCTATACCAATCATTTGATAATTGTGGATAAATGGCCACATCATTACCAATTGCAAGGCCACTCAAAATCTATTTAAATTGGAGGGAGAAATTAAGATCATCTTCTTCAATTAAATCATCTAATTCATGAACTTGAGTGCTATTAAGGTTCACTCTCAAGACATCTTTACAATTAATGTCATCTATTATGGTTATTAAATCTATCTATGAAGTTTACATTCATAATTTCATTTTCACTACAAGTAGGGTGATTTTTCAACCACTAGGTGAATTCTCCATCATTGTCTTAATCATATAGTCATGGGCTTATACAATATAATGAGGTAGTTTGGACTATTCCTAAGCAAGTGACCTCTTTATCTCCTAAATTAACAGATCTCACCTTCTTTATGAATTCTTTTTTAGGTTGAGAGTTATGATTTTCGTCCTCAAAAGAATATGGTGAGGTTTCCAAGAGGACCATAAATAATATGACGATTTTTACCACTTCAATCAATTTTGGTCTTAGCCACCATTAATCAATGCCTACTTAAGTGTGAGGAGTAGGAATTCTTACTTGGATGCATGTAAAGATTTTCTTCTATCTACATTGTATCGCTTTTAATATTTTTGATACTTTTGTTATTTTTTATATACATTTTTTTCTAATATTACTCTATTTTTGTTCTAAATGTATCATTTTAAAAATAAATATATATTTTTTAATACCAAAATTCATGTATTGTGTCACTTAAATATAATTTTTATATAAATATTAAGTGTATTTGTAAAAGATATACTCATTAAATATAAGTTTTTTTTTTTTTTTTTTTTTTTTTTTTTTCAAACCTCTAATATTTTATAAATTTTATTTTAGAATCCATTTACTCTTCATTATAAACATTTTTTTATTAACACTCTTAGCATCTAGATATGTTATTTTAAATATAATGTATGAAAAATCATATTGCATTAGATAAATGTGACATTTATAATTCATCTTAATAAAAAAAATCTTCAATTATTTTTATAGTTTTTCTATCATTTTGGCCTTTATACAAATCAAAGATTTTTTTTTTTTTTTTTTTTTTTCTTTGAAAGATTTATTTTAAGAAAAATGATTATTATAATATGATTTTATTTTATTTTATGTATGTATTCTAAAAGACATATATGATTCTCATATATGTATTATATTGGAATTTATTACATCTAATACTTACATTTTAGAAAATCTAACTAATTGATATAGATGAAGATATATATATATATATATATATATATATATATATAACAATAGAAAAAAGTATGGTGGCATTAGCAATACCATGTGTGGATATATATATATATATATATATATTTGTATTTTTTTAAAAAAATTATATTACTTATTTTATATTCTTTATTATTAATATTTAATAATTGTTTATGTATGGTAGCTTCAATATTGGACTCTTTATTTGATTCTTTATTTCTTTCGTAATATAAATATATATGTTTCAAGTAGCATATATATATCTGATTATACATGTCAAATAATCAAATGACATATTGAACAAGTTCTTTTGCATATGGTATCTCTTACACTGCATCATCTAAGCAATCTACTTCTTTTTTTATTTATACCTATTGTCTTGTTTTAAACTTACTTCAAAATATTTTTTCTTGTTACCAAACATATTAGAATTTTTTTCTTTTGGTATACTCAAGTGCATCTCCTTTGAAAACATAGCCATCATAACTAATAATACTGTCATTAAATTATTTCAAAATTAGCAATTAGGCTTAAATAGCTACCATCTTCTTTCAAAGAACACTCACTACTACATATAATTAGTACAAATGGGCATTTAATTATAATGCATCCCTTTATAAATAAATATCAATCAATGTATTGTCATGATTCCAGTATTTTAAATCACAAAATCTAGATCTTGCTAGAATAAATGCCATTTTTTGGTTAAAACCTACCACCCTAATTGACCATAGTGTTTAATTTTATTTTTATTTTTTGCATTAATATATCAAAAATGCTTAATAAAATCTTATCTTAATATGATCCAAATTTGTAGATAGTCATTGTATTAAAAATATTATATTCCTAACTTTGAGACATGCTCATAATATGTAACACCATATGAACTAATAAGACCTACATTGAATAAAATATTGCCTATCAAATAATTATTAATTATCAAGTCTCTCTTGTAGGACGCTTTTTGTTGACTTCTTTATCTATCCAATGAAAAAAATGAAAAAATAAAAAATGAATAGATGTGGGGCTTGGAAAGCAAAAAAAAAAAAAAAAAAAAAAAAAAGGAAAAAAAAGGGAAGAAAAAGGGGTCAAGAGCACAGTGGGGAACATTTTACTATTTTTGAAATTGCAAAAAATCAAGCAAAATTGCTTGTCACAACGAGGGAGAGTTGACCCACACAACAGTATCACAGCAATCAAAGCTAACGGACAATTCAAAGATGGAAGCCTAAGGTGAACAGGGTAGTCCCACACTCCCAAAACTCCCACCTTGGATCATTGGCATGTGGACAATTGAAGAATGCCTCGAAGAAATAGAAATTCTCCAACCACCTCTACAATCTACAGCAAGTGAATCTTTCAGATTCGCCGCCCTCTGACCAGAGCACTGGAGCATCGAGACTTAGCCCCAGCTCCGAGTATGGTTTATTTTTCGCTGAAACGAGTCCAACTTTTTGCTAGATTTACATGAAGAAAAAAAACACACTGTACGTTATTCACAACAATAGTGGGAGGGTCAGTGGTCAAATTCAAGAAAGTCGGGAGAGTACAAAAGGATGGAGTACAAGGTGACAGAAAGACGCCCAGAAATATCTTCGTCCAAACCCCTTCACAATTGCTCTCATCAGCCCATTCATCACGATTGTTACCCCTGATGGGCTCATTGAGCAGATGGTGACAGCGGTAGAAAGCTTCAGGAGTTTTGACCTGAGGAGTCCGTCTGTGCACAGCTTCAAGTCGTCAGTGCGGCGTTCTTCGCTTCCAAGGTTTTTCTGACTAGTGTTTGCAGAGAGCGGAAATTTTGAAATAGATTGAACGGCCTCGAAATTTTTTTCTGGTGTGGAACCGTAAGAGACTTAAAATTCGTTGCAATTTATTCTCTCCATGAGCAGTTGCTTCGTTTACGACACAGAACAGCCAATGCATTGTCTGGCATGCTACATCAAGAAACTCCCGTACTTCGTCAATAGAAGCACAACTTGATCACAATTTTCCGACGACAACGATGTGTTTGAATGAGGAACAAAACATCCACACGATTGTTGTATTGGAGCATTCAATTGGTGCAGAGCTCGATGCATTTCAAGAGCGTCTAGCTATCTACCCTTGCACATTGCTACTTTCGAATAGCTAAATTTATTGGTAGACGAACTGTATGAAAAACCGAAACGTACCTTAAGGCTGGCAATTGCAAAATAAACGTGCAATCGTTCTGAGAGAAAGCAATGTTGCAATATTTCAAACCTCGTGGAATGATAGTGCGCATGAACCCAAGTAGTGCATGTAGGGTCTTCTCCACACTCCGACAAGTCTTTCAATCTCTAGCATTTCATGATTGGGTGAACGTTACCACGTAGTAGCTGACCGCAGACCGACTCTTCGTACTCTTTAATTTTGTCTGTGCCTCGGTTAAAGGTTAGCGACGTGCTCAGGGCTGCAAAATAACGGCACTTTCACCAAATGGAAGGAGAAGCTTCAGATCGAGCGAGAAACTTTTTTCTTACTGGGTCATAAAGACAGGCATGAGGACCAGGATGACACAGTAAAGCTTCGAAGCTTTTGTATGGTGTCATATCTTACACATGTGAAGCTCTTCGGGTTTTACCAAATTGCACATGCTTCAGTTTTGTTGTTCATGTTGCATGAGAGTTTGTTGTATGTTGCAATGGTTGTGAGATGCTTTTGTGGGGACTTTTGGGTTTTAGTTGGAGAGATTTTGTGCTATGTCTGATCAGTTTCTACGTGCTATGAATCAGAAGTTAAAGTGAAAAGGTTGGAATGTATAGTGTGTGTTGGACTTAGCCATGACAGGTGTGAATGTTAAAAGGTTTGAGATCTATTTATTTATTTATTTATTTATTATTATTATGTACGGTAGCAAAACTGTTATGGAATAAAATCGTTTCTTAAGTTAATTTGCAAGTTGAAATTTTTTGCATGATGAAAAATGTGTTTATTATTTTGTATCACAATCTTAAATTCATTCAATAAAACAAATTCATTTTGGATGTGCAAATTAGTGATTTGTGTGCTTATTGAGCTATGTGGTTGGTATTCATCTTAGTAATAAGATATTAAATGCATAATATGGTTGAGTACAAAAATATATGCATGCATAATATCTCTCAAGATTAACGCAGTGTGGCAAAAACATAATATTGTTGTATTAAAAAAATCCAAATAATGTATTATATATAGATTTAGTATTTTAAAAACAAAGAGTGTTTTGAAAGCAACACCTTAGAACATCTAAGGTGCCTTGAAGGAAAATCAATTTTAAAAAAAATATATTTTACAAAATGGAATTTACATAAATGAAGATACGATATTGATTTAGTGGAGATAGATGTGCATAACTTGGCTCGTAAAGTATCAAAGTCAAATTTTGATCTTATTTAAGACAATATACAATGATTTCATAAGCTCTGTAGAATCAGTTATCTGAGAACAGGTAACACTATGACTTGTTCTCTTCATTACCTGGTACCCTATCTCCCACCCTTACCTGGGATTCATTTACAATTGTTCCAGGATCCTCTGCTACTTCTGTTGTATGAGAATCACCTGAACACCACAACAACTACCAGTCAAAGAGAGCAAGTAACCAACTCTTAATGCCCAAGTCATACTGTGAATTCAATGTGCATGCCCTTCAAAAAGTAAAAAATTGAACAGTAACGTGAATAAGTAGATTAAGAGAGAAGTAGAGGAAGTGAATTGAATTGAATGGGTACCTTGGGCATGTACATGGACAGGTTTAGGGTTTTGGTGGTGGTCATCTCCATTCAAATGGTTGTGGTCATTGTGTTGGTGTTTTTGGCCAAGATGCTGTGTTGTGCCTGGTACAATGTCCACCACATGGCCACCTGCATCCACTTGCTTGTCAAGGCCAAGCACATGGAGATGGTGTTCTTTCTTTGTGACATGGGGTTCCTCATTTGAGATGGATGAGTTGGGTGAGATGGGCACATGGACGTGATCCGGATGACTGTGCCTCTTCTTTGCTGACTTTGCCCAGCCTTTGAGAGCAACACCAGTGGACTCTGATCTGAACACTGTTAACTTCATTTTGGAACCCAGCTGCAGTTTTTGTACAATAACAAGGGGGTCATCAACCAGGGTCTTGGATGCTATACCAGCCAATGAAGAAAGACAAGGGTGTTGAGAAGCAGGGCTTAGAATTTCTTTAGTCACAAACTATCAAAACATCTCTAAAGTGGCCGCAGGAGTTTGTAGTTGTTACTAAAAATTTAGAGGTTCAGCCATTCTTCTTCTTTTTTTTTTTTTTTTTTTTTTTTTCCTGTGTGAGTATGATGAGGGAATTGCTACATTAAGTCTCAACAAGTAGGGATGAGTACCTGAGTGACAAGGGCATAGAGAGGCAAAGTGCTGACACTGCATAGGATTTGCAAAAAAAGCCTGAACATATCCAGAAAGTTTGGGTCAAAACCATGCTGAAATTGGGAAAGGATGAGAGTCATATGATGCTGAAAAGTTATCAGAATGGATGCAAATATTTCTTGGTATCCACAAGGTTGTTGACACAATCACCTGAAATTTCAAAAACACATGATATGAATGAATGGTTAGCCTAAAAGGGAGCTTACCCAACAAGAATGCGCACAACAACCATCCATGTTTTACCCACTAAGCATGACGAGTACCCGTAAGTGAACTGCACAACAGATGCCAAAGTGAGTAAGTATCATTGCTCTGCAAGGTCACCCAAGCAATGAAAACTAAGCAAACGTCATTTCCCATTCATTTTTGTAACAACTGCTTAAGCATTAAACTAGATTCTGGCGAGACCTCTTTCCATGCGTTCTGTGACTTGAATGCCTTAATAATGGACAGACAGAACCAAATTCATCAGTAGCTCACAAAAGCTTCGACAAAAGTGCATGTCTCTCCAGAGATGAGCAGATACTCACCATAGTCCAGAAGAAGAAGGCCAGTTCAAAAGCATTCTGGATAGTAAACCAAGCAAGTAAGTCTGGTTAGAGAAAATCGTAAGCAGGGAAAGTGCACACGATCAGCTTGAAGATTCTCCATTAGAAGCCGTGGCAGAATATTATAGAACAAGTTAACAAAAAAAAAAAAAAAAAAAAAAAAAAACATCTAGGAGTGTTGTCGACACCAAGCGCATGAAGTACAACTGTATCAGAACTAAGTCCAGATTGAACGTGTATGTATACCTGGAAAAGAATGAAGTGAAGTAAGAAAAGAAGCAGTCGTGGAGACCTGAACCAAAAAAGTTCATCGCGAGGGCTAATTGCTGGGCACGTCTTGATTCCTGTGATCTTGCTTAGTACGCATTCACCCCGCATATCATTGTCCTTGGCCTTTCTTCGAGCTCCCACAACTAATGCCGTAACTATCAGCTGGAGCTTTGCTCCAACAAATAGTATCATCTGTCACGTCCAATAGCTTGTCCATAAGAGCCCCAGGATTGCTTCACAAATGCAGGCAGGCAGAATCCAGTAAATCGATTCCCTATTCTAGAATCAGTCTAACTAAGGTAGATTGGAGATCTTAGAACTCACAGCTAGAGGAATAAAGGCCAACCAGAAGTAGCTGTACCAGCCTGCAATCAAAGAATGTGACAATGTGGATTAGTTACAAAGTCGACATCACGATGTCATTTGAAGAATTGAAAGAATTGGGTAACTTGAAGAGAATGCAGCAGCATTATTGAAGAGCATACGAGGTACAGTGCAGTATTAACCATGAATATCAACGAGCAGGTAGATGCACACAAATGCCCACAAGTAATAGCTGCCAAAATCCCGGACATGCCCAACCCAATCAGTAGAAGAAATTGAGGCACATCCTCTCAAACTCATGAACGAACAAAAGGCAAGTAGCCAAATTTGCACAATTTTGCAGCGGAAATTCACCTATTGGCTCCATTCTTCACAGAAAAAGTCTCTGAATATACCAATTGAAAGAAACACTCTGTTGGTTCAAAAAATTCAGGGCTCTAAGGTGGTTGTGTTATGAACACCTGATGCCGACCACATGCTGGAAGTCGATTTCTATGCTTCGCTTGATGTAGCCATGGAAGTCAAACTTTGGGTCTAGGTTATGAAACTACATTACAACCAACAAAATACACAGCTGTTCAGTTTTCCTGCAATAATTGAATTTGCTTGGAGTAGAACCTGGTCAAAACCTGGGAAGACAAGCAACTGAGTGAACTCAAACCAATTTCACTCTTGTCCACAGAGCATGATCAATGCAGGTCCTAGAGGTAGTCCACTCACCGTGATGAAACCGTATCGTAAACACCAGTAGTCCTGCTTCGAAATAGGCTTTCCGAATTGTTTGAAGAAGCTGTACTGTGCACAAAAAGCCAACCGCCTATTTGATAAGCTTGGACACACACGAGCATTTGAGAATTTAATTGAATGAACAAACGACCATATGATTCATGGTCCGGAATCAATGAAGAATATCTACTTTTCACCCCAGCAGCGAGTGACATGAGCTTGCACACGTAAAAGCGTTTCCAGAAAAAAGTCAAATTGTGAACTGGGTTTGTTATTGGAAATTACAATGTAGCGAGAAATATTATAGCCAGTCCTCGTCGATTGCAAGAATTTGTAACGCATTCGGCCTTCCAGTGCTACTTCAGCGTTGGGTTTTTTGCCCAAAGCTGCAGCAAGAACAAGCCAGGAACAAGTACTTTCCGTCAGGGACAACTGATCATACCCTGGATCACTATGACAGAGCATTGATTTGTGAGACCAAAACACTGAATATGGCTAAAGAGGGAGATGACGGAAAAGGGAGACAGCTGAGGTCTACTGACCTTTTTCAAAACAAATGTCGTATTGTTGTACACTTTGTGTTTCCCAGCTCTTCCATTCATGCACCTGTTCACCTACCCAAAATTAGAATTCAAAACTTCCATAACAGACATGTAATAAGGTGAATTGTATTGGATTGCAGAGCCGGTCTGGAATTGGTTATTCTTTGTGGTTTCTACACGTCAAGTCTACAAACGATTCCTTCTTCTATCATTCCCTATCTTCCCTAGTTTAAAATTCATCAGCGATGCGGAGCTTCCGCAGGCAGCACCATCGCGAAAACATTGGAGGAAACGAAGAGACTTACTTGCCATAACCCAAGAAGCACTGTGGCCGCGCTGTAGATCACGTGGACAATAGCCATCACAAAAATGAAAATATGGAGCTGATGGAGACCGCTAACCGAAATAACTTGAACCTGACCCTGCAGTGAACTCAAATGATTCTCGAATCTGAGCTACGCAGCAAACACGCTTGACAATTACTGAAAAAAAAAAAAAAAAAAAAAAAAAAAAAACCATAGAAACTATTCGCTACTATTGAGGCAAAAGGCGTGGCTCAATTTCCATGCAATGAGATGCAGAAAAGAAGAAGAAGGTCATGGGCGTTACTGAAGGACAAGTAACAGGTGAACTTGTTGCTAAGAGACGTCTATGGCCAGCTGCTGCTGTAGCATCAACCACAGCACCCGCTTTGTATGGGCAAGGGAGCATAAATTTGTTGAGCCGCTCGGGCATACATATTGAAGCTATTTTCGACTGGAAGACGGTGAGGGAAAGGGATATGAACCCCAGAAGCATGAGCTCTGAACACACAATGGACACTCACTCCAATTAACGTGGCTACTATTCATCTCTGATAACATGAGAGAATAGAATGAAAACAATTAGGCATGCTACATATCCACAAGATGAATCATTATTAATTCCCTGGTGAAATACAACGCGAGTTTAGATTACGGCTGTTTTCAAGCTACAACTGCAGAACTTGAAGATGTGATGATAACAGTTACTTGCCATCCTTGATTTTTCCCAGAGTGTGTAACAACTGCTTCCGTTTTTTTTTCTTCAGTTGCTGCACAAAGAAATCATACGAGGGTTTAACTTAGTCAGCGTTATTGCATTATTTTCTTAGAACATCATCGTCCAATAACGTAGATTCTACTCGACTGCACCACAAGTGACAGAAGTTCTCTTTTATGGTGCTGATACGCTCAACGGAACGATACGAGATGGCTGAAGATGGTAGAGTTTCCGGGTACGTGAGTGTGAATTGGATTGAATGTAATTAACAACAATCGACACCGTTGTTAAAAGAATCGAGAAACCGCCGTGGATGTAACCAGGGGGACGGAGAATTGCTGGCGTCGGATTTCTAAACGCAAAGTTAAAACTGGTCACTCCTGAAGGAGAATTTTCTAGCACCAAACCGATTTTGAACAACAAATTCGAAAGATTCTAGAAAAGACTCATAATGCCTCTCTGGATCCGGTAGAATCGACGTGAGATATTCAATGAGCGTGGCGTTCTTCGCAACTTCGCGATCCACAGCGCCCACAAATCTCACAACTGAACTCATGAAAGGAGAAGCAAATGAAGAAACAGCCTTCCAGTATATGGACACAGCGGCCGGAGATTGACGCTTACATGGCCCAAGTGTTCCAGACCTCGTTCCACCACCAGAGACGCAACAACGAATACGGCGCAAACCGCAGCCACGGCCCAGGTGGGCGTCGCCTCCAAGGATTTCTCATCTTCGCCCCCGGCCATCGTGTCCCCAAGCGCCCTTTCCCCGCACTACAACTTCCTCCGGCGTCAAAACAACATGCGGTCCCCTCCCACTGCTGCTACTACGTCCACTCCCAACATTCTGGTCCTGGATTCACTCGCCACTATTGCCGCATCCTCGCAACTCGCATTCACACACCACTCATCAACGCAATGCTGTGCACCTCAGTCCCTCTTAGCATCAATAACAGTAGCGGAAGCGATTTTATCTGAGCCACAATAAATAATTAAAACAAACAACTTTGAGGTCGCGCGACAGGCCTAGAGGCTCGGGGTGGGAAACCCGAAAGGAAAGGAGCGAGGAGCGAGGTGAGGCATCAGAGAGGATGATTGTTTACTCCATTAAAAGAAAATAATCAGACAAACAAACAAAGAAAAAAAAGCGATGACCAACGGCGGACTCTGGTTTTTAACGATTCAACGGCCCTCGTCACGGATTCCTTTTATCGATGCGGGCAGGTGCCGCGCTCTGCGATCGAGGAGCGCATCGCCACCACCACCGATGGAGGTTTCCTCCCTTTCTTCCTTCTTTTCTTCCTTCCGTGCTCCCTTCCTACCAATCCATCTCCATCTCCAACTTCACCCAATGCCCCAGTTTCTACTCTCACTCTAGACTTGCCCACATCCTCCTTCTCAACTTACTCACGCAAAGAAAAAAGCTACCTTTTCTGCATGTTTTGCAAGGAATACAAAGGAAGATTCATGCTCTTTAACGAGCATAATGTTGTTGTTGATCCAGGTATTTTGGATGATTTCAAATTGGGTATTGTTTGCTCTGTTTGTTGATGTGTGTGTTATGGAATTGGGTGGGCAGATTGATTCTTTTTCATGTTTGTTGGTATTGACTATTTGGATAAGGACGTAGTTGGAGGATTGCTCTTGCCTATAGTATTGAAGTTTACATTCTTTTATTTTATTTTTATTATTAAGATGGAGGAGTGACTTGTTGTTTTTGTGATATTTTTATTAAAAAAATATCTGGGGCTTTTTTACTATTATATTTAACTTGTTTTATGCCCCTTTTTGTGCTATGATAGGATTGATTGCTACAAAGTACCTAAAATGATTCCATACTTGATTAAAATATAGTTGTGTAAAAAATTATAATAGTAAATAAAAAATATGACTTTCAATATTGATTCTTTGATATACATATACACACACATAGAGTGTTGCTAATGCCACCACAATTTTTGTTATTATCACTACAATTTATTTTTATTAAATTTTTAATTAAGTTTTTATAAAAGTTAAAATTCACTTTCTATATGATTTTATTTTAAATATATATTAGAAATATATTTTTAAGAAAAATTTATTGTAATTTTAGAAAACTAAAGAAATATGTTGAGTGGACTGTAGATTGTAATGGCAGCAACAAAAATTGTGGATGCATTAGCAATACTATATATATAAAGATAAAAAATTTACAATAGAAATAAATATAAGATTAAAAAATAATTGTTATCAAAATTCTTTATTTTATAAAATTAATGCATAAAAAAAATATATTAATGTATTTATTATTTTATAATTTATAAATTTTATTGAAATATTATTAAATATAAAAATATTATATATTATGAGGTTTGAATTTAGAATATATCAATACATCATTGAGTACATACTAATTTATAGCTATATTAGATATGCAATCAAATTTAACTAAACAAATTTAAGAGGTTCTTTTAAAATAATAATAGATGTTTATAATTTGGTGGATTATTTTAGGATATTGCTAATGCCACCACAATTTTTGCTATTATTACCACAACCTACCACATGCCACCTTTGTTCCATATTTTTCAAATATATATATATATATATATATATATATTCAACACCTTTCAAATTGTTTGATTGAATAATTTTTTTATTAAAATAAAACTAATGAAATATGTCAAGTGGATGGAAGATTGTGGTGGTAGTAGCAAAAACTATTGTAGTATTAGCAATACTCTTATTTTAAGTCTAAAATAAAGATTTTGGAAATTCAAATTTCAATACTTTAAAAAAGAATTATCCATCATTTTTTAACTATATTTGATAAATATCCTAAAATATACAAATAATTTTATCTATTCAAAAAATAGAATTATTTATTTTAATATATAAAAAAGGTTAAAGTTGTTTCTTCAATGCTTATAAAGATTATGCCACTCAATAAAATGCATGTTAATTAAAGGTATGATGTATTATATTTATTATAATATACATCAAATAAAAGAAAGAAGGAATGAATAACTAGATACCATATCTTCATACTGTTACCATTATTTTTTTGTGGTCACAAAGAATTACCAAAAGATTGAACATGATCCTATTCTCTGTTATTTATATTTTTAGAAATAAATAAATACATGAATAGATTTAAAAGCATGCTTTCAATCAATTCACAATAAGCCACCCAATCACCAACCCCCAATTCTAGTTTTCAAAAACATCTTTCATTCACTTCCCACATTTGAATCATGCTTGGATAATGGTTAAATAAAAATCCCTACCCCATCCACAGAAATACTTTAATAAAAATAACACAGAAATACACACCATAAACCATCTTTCAACTAAAACTACAAATCTTCATATCAAAGTTTCGTGTACAACTTGAACATCAAAGGAATAACACATCAACTGCAACAAGTTGAAAAAATCATTCAGAAACTCAAATGTGGGTTGGAAACGAAACCCAGCCCTGGAACGACACACCACAAAGACTGTTTCAATTGCAACACAGAAACATTTTAAATACACCCAATTCGTCCAGTTCAGGCAACATCCAACCAGTCTGGAAAGATCTCAGAGAAATAAATAATAATATTCATAACAATGATAAGAATGTGGGCCTGGTGGAAAAGTAGATGCCAACATCGGGCCTTTATGGCTGGATTCCAGATCCAACGCCTCCGGTGAGAAGCATTGTCATGAAAACCGGCACAAGACTCGGAGCTTTACAGGTTAGATTGTGTGAAATGAACGAATTCAAGCTGAATTGCAGACATGGCACACACACACAGACTTAGTGTTGGGACCTGTATTCAACGAGGTTTGCTTCCAACCTCATGCACACAGGCCGCATTGTCAACCTCTACGGCCATATTTCTAAGGATGCTTCAGTACTGTACCCAGGCCACGGTATCAGTATTAGCTGGAAGCGTTGAGCAGGAGGCGAGGACATGCACACCAGAATAAGCAGGGCTGATGACTTGTGGTGTTTTAGGTGCCCCACATATGTTTTCAGTACACAGCGTGAGAGTTGCTCGCTCCGGTTGTCCGCTGACGCATCTGCACTTCGATCTATCCTCGCATAGCAACGTGGTGATCAAAACTGGGGATTTGTGGGTGGTTGGAAGATGGGTACTGAATATTCATGTAGAAACTGACTAGTCTGAGGGGAATCGATGAGTGAGCAATGCGTAGGGAGAGCTCAGTCGCATGCTCGGGTTAGCGAGATAGGTCGAGTTGGCTGCTTTTAGTTGTTGACTAGGGAAAGTAAACAAGGGAGAAATCAGTGTATTGTGGACGGCAATGACTGTCGAATCTGTACAGGGAACATGGGATAATAATGGTTGAAAAAGGCTCCACCGCCTTGCAACGAGATTGGCACAGACCAGCGACGTGATGCTGGGGTAGTAAAAGTTTCGAAAGGGACGCCAATCGTTCATTTCCAATGAAAAAACAAATAATATAGTTCATATGCGTCCCTGGACTGAAAATTATCGTGTGATGTGGCAGCTCACTCAGGTTGTGGCTATGGACGCTACAGAGATATGATATCTTAGTTACTAGCTGCGCTCCGGCACCTACATGGCTAGAGGCACTTGCAGACCAAAAACACTCCAAAGATTGGTACTTTGTGAAACTACGTTGTATTGTAATTGATTCCACCCCTCTCTTGTCTACAAACCAAAAATAATTAACTCAAATCAACGGTGATGAATCAAAGAGTGGTGGTCGAGACTATTCAATTCCTGAATTGCAGCCTGAAGGGAGCAAAAAAAGTAGCGCTCATTTTGGTCAGCGTCGCCTTGGGCTTGCAGCAGGGCTTCTGAAGAAGTAAGTTCAGGGTTTAATGAATGTTTTCTCACTTTTATCGGGTAGCCTCAGGTCGCCAGAAACTTTTCCTTGCTACAAGAAGTTCCTCGTCACCCTGTGTGTATGCAAGCACTACATTCCAATGCAACGACTTCACCAGTTCTTCTATTTCGCGGAGCACGTCCGCACCGTCACGGAAGACTGCCCATCCGTCAGGACGTAAAATGCGGTCCATCTCCATCACCACGTTAACAATGCTGCACCTGTTGCATCCAAATCAGTAAAAAAATATAATTATTAAAAACCTTCGCACAACTTGAACATCTGGGCATCTCTTACTGTAGTTCACAAGAGCCTCAAACGAGGGAGTTGGTTTTGGAAAATGCGGCTGACTCCTTACTTGGTAGTGAGTGTACTGAACAAGTGGTCGGCGTGCATGAGATCGTAGGAGCGTGGGTACGTGCTGTGAGGCTCACACCAGTCGTGGTACATGCCGATTAAACCACGGTCATATATAATTGGCAATGTGTCTGGCTCCGTCACAGGGATGATGTTCATCACCCACAGGGGCTGCATCACCAGCGCGGCTGCAAACCCTCCATAGCCAGCCTTCATATCCATCACGTTGCGGACCGAGCTCCACTGAATGCCGACTCCCTGCAAATAGGACTTCTCAACAATGCGCTTCCAGTGATCAGCGTCTGCACGGTAATCCTCCGCCACAGGCTTCCCATAGATGCCCTTCTCGCTGGTGCTTAGCCACGACGGAGTCGCCTCCACACGGAGAGGCCACTCAGCTGGCCAGCTTGTGCCTCTTGCTCCCTCTTTGGATGGGATTTTGTGTATACATGACTTCATTGGGATGTACCAGGCTGCGTCTGGCTTGTCGTCAGGTTCACACAATGGTGGGGTGGCGTCAGGCTTCCGAAGATCGTACAGATTGTTGTCTGTAGGTTTCTGGAATACAGCCACCCCTATCTTTGTTGTGGGATCGTTCTTCTTGGCCACCAACTTCCAAGACAGTCTTTCTGTGATAACTTTTGTGTCTGCAATATGATGGTATTAGTAGAAGCTATATATTTTGACTCAGGCATAATTGGAAATGTTAACACCAGGCCACATCAGTTTGCTGTTTGGCAGCATAAGAGGGATTAGATGCGAACCTTTCCATATTTGAACGTTCTCCTCGTCCTTCCAGTACACAGGGGTTGCCGACCACAGAAAGTAGCCCCCTGGTCTTAGAACGCGATTCAGCTCAACAAGAAGCATTCCCTCTGTCACAGAAATACCCCACGACAATCCTAATTTCAGTCGGGTTAGCAAACACATACACCGCAATTTTCAAAACCTGAACTGGGGTTAATTTGTTCTAGACATCAATGCAGAAGGATAATTGAGGGTCTCTACGGAATCCAATTACCGTCACTATGCCATGGAACACGACATCTAGCGCAGTGCACAACATCGAAAACATTGCTCGGGAAGACCAAACGTTGAGTGCCCATAACAGCGGATACAGCTGGAATGCCACGCTCCAATGCCATTTGCACCTGTGCTTCATGCTCATCCTTGGGAGCTATAGACATCGCCAGAACATTTTTGTCAAAAAGATAGCCACTGAAGCTCGCAACTCCACAACCCACGTCCAAAATGACGCGAGTGTGCTTTCCCCAGGCTACTTCGGGCACAGCCTGCCATATCCATGACACAACATCTGAATCAGTCAAAACATGTTAGACTGAGCTAAAGAGTTGAAGTTCAATTTTCAACACTATGACTGATGAAATCTGCTGATGTACAGACCTCTTGTAGAAAGTCGATGTAGTGCGTTGCGCCCTGCTTGAATTGCGTGCCACCACCGGGAAAAATGAGCTTCTGCTTGTTCTCCGACACCTTCACCCAATTTTGATCCGCCTTGTAGGACACTAATTGCGTGTGGGGCACATTGCTGAACCATACCTGCAATTTGATAAAAATCATAGGAGATGAGCTTTACGGGTCAAATGGAATGATCTGCGTACATGTTTTCAAGAACTCATTCGTTGCAGACATGGGACTGGTGTGCATGAGCTTACTTGATCTCTACTCGAGGGCCACTTGATTGGAACCTTATAGTTAGCTGGCAATGGAAGCAAGCATTTGGGAAGGTCCTCTTCGGAGGGACAATGGCGTTCCCTGTGCTCGTAGTGCTTTCGCGACTTCAGCTTCTTGATAGCTGCTTCATTGTCGAGGCAAGGAATGAAATCCTGTGCTCCAGCAAAATTGCAAAGTGTCCAAGTCTTGGCAGCACCATCCTGCACCCTCAGAAAGGAAGTTTTAGTGGTGTCCTCAGGAATTGACTCCGGTGCAGTGGAACTGTCTCTCTGGATTTCGGCCTTCTCCTCCTTCGACTCCATGTCCTGGGTCTCGAAGCTTGTCTTGTTCGATTCATTATTCTCCGTGGTTAACTCCACCAGCGTCGAGATGTTATCAGGAATCTCCTCCATGGGTTGTGTCTTCCCAAGTGGCTCATTTGTGAGTTGGTCAGCGTCTGGAACTGGATTCGAGGGTCCTTCTTTCAAAGTAGATGAATTTTCCGTTCCCGAAGTGCTCGGTACTGTATTTTCAGGCCAGGCATTGGAGTTCACAGAACTGCTCCTTCCAGCAGGTCCTCCGTCGGATTTCTCTGGAATTGCTGCTGGTGTAGTGGACACCCAAACCGCGACCAAGAAGAAACCTATCAATACCGACCCTATGATGACGTACGTGGACGGGCTCCCCAGCCTCTCTCCTGGTCTGGAGGTCTTGGAAGCAGCCATGGTGACCTTCAGTTGGCCTCCCTGTGAAAGCGGTCACACAAGCTTCGCGAGATGAGAGAGTGCTTTCATGTGAAGTTGCAGCATTAAAGTTTTTGTGAGCTTTCAAGGAATCACCTCATCTCAAGCAAGCTAGGCCAGTGGTCCACTCTTAAATTATCTGAAATTATCATGAAATTTGGTATATCTGGACGAACATTACAGTCTTCCATGTATTCAGCTTCTCTGAATCAACGCAGGTGCAGGATATGTATTTCAAATGAGTGATCATTATTTATACTTGAGCGTATTATTTTGACCTAAGATTTTTAAATACCAACGACTAAATCGTTTGTTAATGACCCTGAAGAGACAAGTGAGATGCTCATCGAAGGCATTCTGGTGTCCACACTCCCCGTTTTGACGAAGACGCTTCAAAACTGTTGAAGGACACATTTCAAACACGAGGGCACTGAAGAATGTCCAAGCCCTTGAACCCCATCCTCACTAACATTATGACTTCAAGCACTAAGCAATGAGTCTCCTTTCGGTGGTTACGCTCTTCAGGTAATCTTACCTTGAGTTGAAAAGCCATTTTACCTCAGAACTCCAACCTATTGAAGTAAGTTTAAAGCTATATTTTGTTTAAGCGCCGATTAAACAGCGGCAGTTCAAATGGAGAATAGAGAAGTAACAGCAGCAGGAAGAAGCGACGAAAGTCCGTTATCAAGCGTCGGATACTCGTCAAGTATCCGAAACTGGGCAAAAAAACTGAAGAGAAAGAAGGGATTGCACAAAAAACAGTCCGAGAAATCACAGTCCCACATCCAGTTCACAAAGCAAAGCGAAAGAGAGGCAAGTTTTCCGAACCTCTCTAAGTTGCACAAGCAAGGTACTGCTCAGAGTCGCACAAAGACCAAGTCAGACTTGATCGACTACTCTGCGCAAATCCACCTCGCCAGCACATGGGATCTCAAGCTCCTTCGTCCCCGTAGCTCTCACGTCCCCCGACCGGACGACATTACCTACAGTCAGCTAAACAAATCAAAAACGACACGAAAACGACACCAACTCCATAAAGAAAATTGTCCAGCTCACAAGGACCAACCAACCCACCAAGAAGTGCAGCAACTCGGGTTCAAAAACAACGAAAAAAAGGTGGCAGATATAGTGACCAGCTGCTCACCGACGCCGTCCGCAGGCAGCTAAACTATGAAGCAGTTGCGAAGCTCCACCATTGCAGAGCGAATCTCAACCATGAGGGCACAAGATCACAGCAACCATGCGAAGCTCCGAGGTAGTAAACGGCATCGGCTCCTCCTGCTGCTGCTCCTGCTACTGCTCCTGCTGCTTCTGCACTGACATGGAGATGGAGGAATGGGAGAATTGGAGTAACCCACATGCAAGGGTCAGAGATTGACAGTCGGTGTGTCCCCATTATTGAGCTCCCTCTTCAATACACACCATCTCCAAGCTCTGCAACTGCTGCGTACGAGAAGTCCTTCCCTGCCTCGCCGGTAAAGTTCCCTATCCGTCCGTTCCAATGAGGGAACTCGCTCCCTGGGTTCGCTCCCATGGGGATCTGGACCCCTCGCTTCGTTTCCATGCAGAACTTGCTCCCTCATTTTGTTCCCGCCGGGAACTCGCTCCCATTCCATTGTTCCCAAGGGGGAACTCGCTCCCTCACTGTTTCACCTGAAAATGTCCCACCATGTTGCTTTAATTGTTAAAGGAATATCTTCCAGCTTTTTCAGATGGAAATATTCGAAACTATTTTGGCACGTCTGTGTTTCTCATGAGGATTTTTCTTTTGGAAAAAAACTAACATTGTGTTGAATTTTTGTATTGAATGAGGCTTTTTTTCCTTCCTTTTTTCAAATTTTATATCTGAGTGATAATGAAATGAGGTTTTTTTCTGTTGTGAAGATACTGTTGCTTTGACCTAAGGAATGATTCAGGTGCTTCTTGTTTAAAATTGGGGAAATAATGGTTTGATAATGTTTATGAAATGGTATCTAAATGATAGGAAAAGGTTAAAACTTGACTATTAGTTCATATTTTAAAAATAAAATATAAAAATGATAACATAGTTTTTGATAGAAGTGCTCTTTATTGTTGACGAAAAAACTAAAATACTATAATGCAGTTTGTACCAATTTTTTTCTAGAACCCATACTACATTGCACAATCTTTTTGGAAGTAGCCATAAATAGCTCGATATTTGATAAAATATTATGCTTTTATACATAAAATGTTTTTGCATGATTTCAAATTATTCTATTTAAAATATGAAGTTGAAACTAAAGTGGTTGATTTTATTTTTTAATATGGAAATATTCTTTTTGTTTACATATTCAAATGTACATTTCAAACGCACTCTTACCTATTTTGTAAAAACATTCCAAAAATGTATTATTTTATTTCATTTTATTGTAAAATTTCAGATTTCAGAAAATGCAAAGATATAATCAAATGATTGAATATTATTCAAGAAAATTACAAAACTTTTTAGTTGTGAATTTTTCTTTATCAATGTATAATATTAAAAAAATAAAAAATAAAATATAAGAAAAAATAAATAATTTTGAGTTTGATACCACAAAACATTAGATTTCATTGGAGAAATAAAAATAAAAATAATTTTAAAATTTTAAAAACATAAAATAAAACACAATAGAATAAAAATTCCATAGCTTTGATGATCTAGAAGACTCAAAATGCTTTTACAAAAACATTGGTGTCAAGGCTGATTAGTATAAAGTATGAAGTAAAAAAATTGTAGAATGACGGAGAAGTTTTACTAGGATTTTATTTTTTCTTCTATTAGTTTGTGTAGCAAGTCAGTCAAAGTTATGACAGTAGTCTTTAAGTTTTGTGAGTATTGTTTTTACAAATAAGATTAAAAACCATCTTTACTCTCAGAAAAAAACAATAGACTTCTTTTAAAAATTACAGCAAGATAGGAGTATTTATTAGTCATTGCAAAAAGAACAAGTCCATTCAAAAGAAATATGGTGTAATTCATGGTTTGTGTGTATACAAATATATATATTATCCATAAATAAAATATCAACCCAAATTAATTTAAGTTTAAAATGACTATAATAATAATAAATGCAAAAAACAGTTGTAAACATGACCAATAGAATTTTAAAAAAGCAATAATTATCATATCAAATATGAAACATAAGTGGAAAATTAACAGGTTGAAAATTTAAATGTCAACCTACAACAAAAACCGAATGATTTAATATTACAACTTTCTACGGTTTTATATGTTATATAATTAACAGTACATATATATATATATATTTATATATTATTTGTTTAACATTCAAAATGGTGGTACTATCCAATAAAAAGATATGATTAAATATGTTAAAAGATATGCTAAATCAAGATTAAAAACATATTATAAATTTTAAAAAATGAAAGCTTTGTATTGCAAAGGTAGTAGTGATTGTATTTTAGCTTGTAGATGTACTTTCTTCAATTTATTTCTTGTCATACATATCATAAAACTATTTATTTATTTTCTATTTCTTATTTCTTCTAATTCGTAATATTTGAAAGACTTTTGAAACATGCTAAAAAATATAACATTTAGAACACTTTCATTAAATACTGAGTACATGATTATGTAATGTACTTTTGAGTAGATGAACAATTTTTTATTTGGATCAAATACAATTTATTGCAAAACCAATTATTATGTGTTGATCCAATTTTTTCTTTTTCTTTTTCTTTTCTTAACATTTAAAACGTACTATCAAAACTTATTTTTATTTTGAAAAAATTATAAATATCCACAATTGCACATTGATTAGATGGTTGTAAAACAACAACAATATAAAACTATGTATTCACTATATATATATATATATATATATATTTATTGGTTAAATTTAAAATGTACAAAACATCATCAAATTTATTTATTTATTTAACATGTAAACTAAGTATTAAAAATATTTATGAGAAGATATACGTTTAAAGAATAAAGATTTATTCACACACATTTTTTAATTGACCAATTATACATTAATAATAATCATAAATTATTCATAGGTAATTTGAGGATTTGTGTTTCTAAAGATATGTTAATTATTAAAAATTAATTTTCAAAGCATCACCTTTCATTTGATGTTTTTTTACAAACTTTTAATCAAAATTTTAATCATCGATTTTTTCCAATTGTATTTTATATCTAACAAAAAAATATTTATCAACATCTAGTTGTTTTGAATTTCGAGCATCATTTAGTATCAAATAACATGTTGATTAAATAAAGTTTCGTCTTTTAAAAAGTGTATTTCTTTATGAAATTTTAAAAAGAAAAATTAATATTTTTTTTATTACATTAAATCACTCAGCTTTATTACACAAACAAAAAAGGAAAGCACACATCAATCAAAACGACCTTTAAAAATGAGAACGAATTGAAGATTTTATTATTATTATTATATTTTTCTTCTTTCCTGTTTTGTTGCGCTGATGCTGAAACTCTGCATTTCTTCTTCACATTTCTTATGGGCTTCAGACTAAACAGCATGCAGCTCCCCTTGCAAACCCTAAATCCCAAACCCTAACTGGGAAAGAGTAGATTGTCATTGCGCAACATGCATTTCACGAAGATGGCCACAGAATCCAATGCCGCAAGCGCAGTCAGTCTCTGAGCTTGGTCACCTCGGATCCGTCGTCCGAAATCAATCACAATCGTGGGTTGAGATACAATTCTGCGCAACAAAGACCTCAGGCAAATGCTAACCCCATTTCTCTCTGCATCTGTGCAAGCGCGTCGCCATTGCAGAAGATCCTTCGCCAGGGCAGACAATCAATGCCACCAGAAGCCAACTGTATAGTATGTCCTCCATCGATCGCACCCCAAACCCACGACTCCTGTGTCACGATGCGATTCGGACACCATCCTTTCCAGCGACATAGGAGGAAAAGATCCAAGACGGACAAGAATGTTGCACGTTGCTCGATCCAAGTCGCAACTGTTTCAAGGAAGTGGGTACAAGCCGTCAGCGATGCAACGACAGATAGCGATTGCTGATGAGGGTTTGCTTGAATTCCACATCGAGCGCTTGCCCATACGATTGTCCTTCAACAGCGCAGATATCCACGGATGTGCCTTCGTCGGCTACCATAACGCACAAGATTCTACCAAGGCTACTGGATCCTTCAGCAAACCTGATTGCGCCTGGGCAACATGGATCTCGTCCTCGGCGACGGGATCTCTAGCTTCACAACACTCCGAATCATCTGCGGTGACGCAATTGCAGCTGGTGGCGGTGCAGTCGGCGTTGGCGATGCGGCAATTGGCATTTACATGGCATCGACCGGCGTCCGTGTTGTCACAACTGGAAGCTACAGAGTTGTTATTTATCTATGTGTTGAGGGAATTGTGAAAATGACCCAAGTATTTACTAAATCAATCCACCCATCTTGACCATCATCAAAAAAACTCTCCATTGTCAGATCCGTAATGATTGAAAACCAATGAAAAAATGGTTGGATCCTCAACCAGTGGTGATGATGGGTGGGTCAATTTAGTAAATTCTTGGGTCAATTTCACAATTCTCTTTATTTATTATGTTTCATCATTGTCTAGATTCTTGCTATGTATGTTGATGTTGCTGGAAATTGTAAGCAAAAGTATATCTAATATTATATTATTGGGTGCAAAGACAAATCTTGGCATTACAAACAAATAAACAAAAAAAGAAAAAAATTAAATTCTATAATTTTGTGACTAAGTTTATTGCATAGTTTGTGGAAGTCATTGTTAGGATAGAGAAGGAAGTTGTTTTTTTTAATATTATTTTTTTCAAAGAGATTAGATGATATCTTCATTTTTTACTATCACACAACACATTACAACTTATAAAATATACAATTGTTTTTTTTTTTTTTTTTTTTTTTTTTTTAGACTCGAAAAATTTGTTGCATTATTTTAATATAAAATGAAAGAAATTCTAACAAAGTTTAAAAAGTTATTTGGTATAATTTTTTAAAATTAAATATATCTTCTATAAAACTTGTAATTTCTATAATGTGTTATAATACTAAAAGATTGAAGTAGGGAAATAAACTATTTAAGAAAATTGTTTCTATGTTATAAGCATTTAAGAACAAAGTTTCTATCTTAAACAATTGGATCAATAAAGAAGTAGTAATATGCCTGGGTAAAAAAATCTAACTATTGCCTTAAAAAACAATAATGTACAAGTTTGTCTTTTAAAAATTACTCAACTCAAAAGCAACAACAAAGGCAAATATAAAATTACATAATTTATTATTTTTAATTATTTGACTTCGATATAAAACAATTTACTTAGATATAAAACAATTTACTTTTAATTTGTACACACTAAATAAAGTTCAATTGAGACAAAAAAGATGTAGCAATACTTTTACATAGTTTGTCACATCTACAATATAAGTTTAAAAATTTAGTTCTTTTCATAACCTCATTGTTATTGCCACAAAAATAAAGCAAAATAATTGACATGTTTTATAGTAGTTTTAGTAAAAATTTATAGTTATAAGTTTATAACTATATGTATTAACTAATAGTAATTTAATTCTATCTTCACATAATGTATTCTTCAGCATTTAGAATTATTCTTCTACAAACTTTGGTAGTCTCTTTATGGTCTTTATTATCTCTTTGGTGTAATAGAATTGAAAATAAGACTATTTAGTGTAATAGAACATCTTTAAAGAAGTTTAAAAAGAAAAGAAAAGAAAAGAAAAGAAACCCCTCACAAGTTATTTTAACTTTTTCATTTGTTCACATTTCTTGTGATTTCCCACCTCTAAAATTCCTCCTGCCCTCTTTTTTTACAAGATTAGGTAGTATATATATATATATATATAGAGAGAGAGAGAGAGATACAATGACTTTCAGAATTCCAAACCAAATATAATGTAAAACAACAAAGAACCTTTGATTTGATCAATTATAACTTAAGTGAAGTCATAAAATTCCTCCCAAACACTTGTTAATCAAACTTGCAAAAGCAGATTTACAATCCAAAGCCCATTTTCTGCCATTGGTAACTTAAAAAGTTGTCAAATTCTATCCTCTGCTTTTATTTTATTTACTTCAAATAAAGTTTAAAAAAAAAAAAAAAAAAACCTGTGGTATGAGACACTTGTTAAAAAAGTGTCAATATTGGTTTTTCTCGTATGGAACATAGGACATTATAGATTGTGCTCTTCTAGTAATAATACAAGAGCTGTTTATCAACTGATTACCACTTCTACATAAGCTTTGATTTTCAAAAGAAATCTATACTGTACAGTTTTAAGACTTCTCTTAAGGTGCAAAGAGCATAGATTTAGTAATTTTAAAAATAAATAATACAAACGCAAGAAAGGTCCTGTTGTGGACATGCCATGAGTGGACATTAGAATGCTCTCTACACTTCAAAGAAACCATCTATTATGAAAACACTTTCTTAAGAACTAAAATACAAAAAACAGAAGCAAATAACGACCGGCTTTCATGTATGAATCATACCTTTTGTACCCTCTAGATTCAAGGGAAAGATGTGGTTTTCCGAACTTCAACCTGATCCTTTCACGCAATTGTGGGTTTGTTCTCATTGGACAAAGAAGGATGTGCTGCAATAGAAAAAAATGAGAAACCTTAAACCCCCTGAGAAACATGAGACACAGTTTTCAATTTATTGAATAGCAGTTGTACACACACTACCCTATGCTCAACAAAAGTTTACAACAGCCAGTTCCACGCTGGCATCACCCAGAGCACCCATATTTTCGAAAGTCAAATCGAAGCCTCATTCGAAATTCGCGATGCCGTCCAAACAGCTGGGAGCCAATACCAAGAACGACTCCTAAGATCGCGGGTGCGGTAACCCCGGTAACCGTGGAAACACCCTTACCAGGATGATACCCTATGTTGGATTGAGGTGATACCTACTCGAGTGCGTGGCATTCCTGTTGCTCTGTTTTAGCACCATAAGCCTTCTCGCTTTCCTTGTCAGCACCTATCAGCAGCACATTCTATGCAGAGGTGAGCTACTTGCGCATGCTCATCGCTCTGTGGTTTTTCCAAGCGTGCGAAAAGTGTCTTTTAAGCTCTTTTTGCTGTGCTGGTGTTCGTTTAGAGAAATGTTGGGGTTACTTGGGAAGTGTGATGAGATGTGAAGCACATCGCTTGACTGCTTCTTCCCCTGAGTTTGGCGTTGTTGCTGTGCTGTGGCGTTTTTGTAGATTGATTTCTGTGGCCAATTGGAGCGGTTTTGGCGAAGTTTGTGGGAGGTTTTTCTTGTGTAATTGTAAGTTGGCCCCTGATTGATGATGAGAGGGGTTTTGGCATTGTGGTTGGTTGTACGGGTTTCCTTTCTGGTTTTTGTTCGCCTTAGTTTTTGCGCGTTACGACAGTTCGGTTAGCAATTTTTTTGTGTTCTCTCTTCTGGCCCACACATGTTACTTGATCTTACAATTGTATTCTTTTGTTCTCAATTTCGATCTTCTCCTCTTGCTCGTGGCCGGGCAAAGCTTCATCGTGATGCATACTGTAGAGATCGTTTACCGGAATTCTCTAAAAATGCACCCATTCCAGCATCCGATCCAATGTTGGCGGATTCTCGTAGGAACTCCAGGTTCTGTCATCCTGGATAGAGTTCTATTATCGAGAGAGATCCATGATGTTCGTCCGGTGGATCACAGGGCGTTTTACTTGTGGATGCTGTGTATAACACTTGCTAAGCATAGATGTTTTACGAATATGGGCTTGAAGGTGGTCTTTTCGTTCAATAGGCAGTAGTAGGGCAGAGAGGGATCAATTTGTTTTCGTCAAGTTTACCCTTCCTGCCAGATTTCTGTATTCTCTTGCAGAAGAATTTTAGAGAATATGTGGCCTCTTCTGCATCTTTACTGTGTGTGACTTGCGATGCTCATGTGAAACACTTGGACAATATTGTTATGGTGCCTGGCTCTCATTTTGGTCCCAGGATAGGATGTAGCGCACCAATAGTCTAATCTGGCTTTTCTGATGTGCGATCAGTGGCGACCGACCAAGGCAAGGTTTTACATGCAAGTGTGTGGAGTGTCACGACTCTTTAATGCCGTGTTCTTGAAAGCACACTGTTCATCCTCATCCGGAGCATTTGGACTTCGAAATCCTGAAATTATGACAGGATCCACGAAAGCCCAGCCCTCCTTGCTCTTTCGGCAACTATTTGAGAAAGAGTCATCAACTTACACTTACTTGCTGGCAGATACTGCGCATTCGGATCGACCTGCCGTGGCAAGTTTGATTACTCCTCAAATTGTTTCATTCACGAACATGACATTCCACGCTTTTCTTTTGTTTAGTTCTTTATCTTTTTGTGCCAACTTTCAATATTCAATTTTTTTAAGCATCAAGTAGTGTCCAAACATGTGAGGCTCTACTAATATTTGACATTTAGAACTTGCGGGTGCAGCTTGTGGATCCTGTGGACAAGACCGCAGAGAGGGATGTCGCTCTTGTGGAGCAGTTGGGGCTGAAATTGTTGTATGTCATGAACACCCATGTACACGCAGATCATGTCACCGGCACTGGTCTTCTCAAAGTACGCTATTGTGTCGAAAATGACTTCACAAATTCTTGCGTCGAATTTCTTCATTTGAAACTATTGTAAACAGAACAAATCGTGCTGGGTTGTGTAACCATGCTGCCAGGTTAAGGGTTTCTTGGCTCAGTTTCTCAACCCTGACATGCAGTAACTTATGAGAACAACTTCCACGCTGTGATGACGTTTGTTTTGTTTTTATTTTTTTATTTAATCTTTTTAATGTAAAAAATTACGACTTCGTGTAAATCGACGCAGAAAAAGATACCAGGAGTTAAATCAGCTATTTCAAGAGCAAGTGGTGCCAAAGCTGACATTCACCTGGATGCTGGCGACAAAATCTGCTTCGGCAACCTGTATCTCGAGGTACTATTGCTGAATCCCTCCCAACCGTAGGAAATTGAATAAATAACCGCTGAAACTTCAAGAGCCTTTTGTACGAAGTATGAACGTTGTTTCAGGTTCCTAGCCTTTAAAATGGCGTTGTGTCTGTCAAGTATGTCAAGATTCTTATGGTTGAGCTCTGACACGTAACCTTTCCGGCGTGTGACGCAGGTGAGGTCAACTCCCGGACATACCGAAGGCTGCGTAACGTATGTCACTGGAGAAGGCCTCGAGCAACCGTATCCACGAATGGCATTTACTGGAGATGCTCTCCTTATTCGTGGTTGCGGTCGCACAGACTTTCAGGTTGCCTCTATCAGAATTTGACCTTGTGAACTTTGGATCTGAAATACATTGTCAGCTTTACGATTTCCGAGTTTCAGTCAACCTTCAAGTTCAGCATGTACAATATTCCTTTGGAGTAGTGAATGATGCACTGGTGACCTATTATAGATATGGAATTTTGATTTCATGGAGTAGCATGGCAATATGCCTTCTCTACGAGTGCTCACAGGTCATTCACTGTGTTAGAGAGGAGACGCAAGCCGGCTATATAAGTCGGTGCACTCGCAGGTGCTTTCTATCGAATTTTTTTAATCTTCATGCAACTTCGTGATGTTTTCATGCCAGCTGAATGTGGTGCATGTGATTCAAGAAGACGCTTAATTTCACCTATTTGTGGTGACAGATTTTTACTTTACCAAAAGAGACACTCATCTACCCTGCCCATGATTACAAAGGACACATGGTAAGCTTTTTCCTCCAGATAGTCCACAATGGTGAAATAGTAGTGCTTAAACATGTGCAAAATATTGGCTCAATTTAATATGTCCTTAATTTCAACACACAACCGCTAAATTTTCGCGTTGATAATCTTCTGATGAACAATGGTTTCAAGAAAGGGATGTGCCCTTGTTTTTTGTATCCCCTAAATATTTTTATGTACAGCAGATATTGACTGTGTAAAGATGCCACAGAAATTTTTGGATAATATTTGGTTATTTTCTAATATAAGACATTCCCAACAGGTCTCGACAGTTGGAGAGGAACTCAAGTTCAATACTCGACTCACAAAAGATGAGGTGAGTGCAGAAATGTTGGTGTTTGATCAAGGCCAGTTGAGCTTACTATCAGATTTTTCTGTAAATAGATCTAGAAGTATCGATCTAAGAGCATCTTCATAGATCTATATCTCTGAAATTGCCATAAGAGAGCTGATGGATGCTCATGAGCTTGGTACAAATTATCCTGCATCAAAACTGAGTGTCGTGTTGAATTTTTTTGCAGGAGGAATTCAAACTCATAATGCAAAGTAAGTTCTTAATCATGACACATACATGGGATTCTACCTTTAGCTGTCTTCTTTGTGTTTCTTTTTATTGGTTGAAATGCACCAACTCCCTCTCTAGCATCTATCTCCCGAAATTGATTTTCAGTTATGTGTTGACGCAGATTTAGGGTTGCCTTACCCGAAGTTGATGGACGTGGCAGTTCCTTCTAACATGCTGTGTGGTTTCCAAGATCCTGTGTAAACATATAGGGGGTGAATTGTGGTCTGCATGGCATATCATGTTGTTCATATCATGATTGCAGGTTTGGATAACTAAAATCACACCTGCAGTTGCCCTATACCAATGTGATCTTATGCCCACATTGTTGGCTAATGGCCATATCACTTGCTTTCGCTTCAAAAATCATCGTAGTAAGCTACTTTTTTCTTTTCAAATAGAACAATTAGCAGTACTCCTTGATAGATAGATACGAATAATAGCGATTGCAACCTCCAGCTATTGTAGTTATTTTATTTTAACTGCCTTGGATAACCTTGTAAGTTCGGTAATCTCTTCCTGAACGAAAAGCTGAATGATCTCTCTCTAAAGTTGTAACAAGGACTCCTGCAAAAGCTTCAATTCTCACCTTCCGAGTTTTATATACAATGCAGCCAACGACAAGTTCGCACCTTGACCATCATTATCTTCCTAGAATTCTTTTCCATCGAATATGTACAAACCATCTCCACATCCAAAATCTCGACGACCCTACAACGTTCCAGGAGCCCAGCCATCGCAATGCTGTAACGTCCCAACGAATCTGACATCAAGTCGAGAAAACCCATTCGAATGAGGCATTTAGGCTCTTTTATCGTTAACAAAACCAGTAGCATGAAATCTACACTACAAGACGGTGCGCCAGATGCCACAAATGGCAGGTTAAACCGCTCAAACTGATCAAGTTAAGCGCTGACGAGTAGCCATGCAAGGTCTTCAACCGATTGTTGATCCAGATGAGCTTCTTCTTGGAATCCTCCAACTGCTTCGCTTCCATAGACGACAATGTGATGTCCGTAGCTCGTCCGTCTTCTTTGTCCGCTTGCAGCTGCTCTAACATCATCTGCATAAATTGTCGTCCAACACGTCAAACTCAAACACTGAAGCACAGATATCAGTACACAAAAAGAGGGTTGAACTAAATTGTGAGCGTTATGCGTACATTTGTAGCGCGAGGCTCAAGAACATAGGCGATGGAAGCGTGGAGGGCAGAGTTGATCAACTCCTAAAGCTCAATTTTGCCAGCCCAGAACCAGGGTTGCATGACGGAATGGAGATAAAACAGTACGATCTGTCCCACTGCCACGATTCTGAGATATACTGGGAACATTTGGCTCTGTACGTAACCGAATTGTTGTCGAGGCAGGTGCTTCGACAAGATCATCCCTGACACGAACGTCATCTAAAAGGAGGAGCCGTAGACCATGGAGAAGGTGAAGAGATGAAGGGTACGAGTAAAGGAGAGAAGAATCCCTGTAGATTTCCTAAAGAAGACATCCTTCCAGATCTTTTTCAAGAATTTGCTTTTGTCGCTAAACCTAGTGGAATTAGAAAGCTCTTGTTGAGCCTTGTCCGAGTAATCTCCTACTGTAGACCGCAGGGATTCAGACCCCTGCTCCTGGACTTTCTCACCACCTTCTTTGCCGTGGACCTTGGTAATGCCCAATCGTTCACTCACTGTGTGCGCTGCGTCATTGGCAGAGTTTAATTCGCCGTTGAAGACATTCTCATGCCCAGACTGGCGACCTTTCCCTTGCCATGCATACTTCACATCTCCAATCACAACCTCAGAAAGAGAGGAGGTCGGGACGTTCTCTGGGGATAAAGTCCCAGCGCTACGCCACCACATGCATTCTGCCACTGCAGCGAGGTCATTACAAGCTTTAAATTTCGAAATCTCGTCAATATCTTCCGCTGTGTCGCGTTCACTGTGGTAATAAACAGCGGGTCTTCATCTCATTGCCGAGAAGTAATTTCTGGGGCTCCAGTCTTGAGGTCGGTCATAGCTGTATTCACCTGCTCTATCTCTAACAAAGTCGTAACATTCTCCCCCTCTGTCCTTGCCGATCCGGTACGCATTTCGCGTCATGTCCCTGAATTCGTCGTAGTAATTCTCGCCAATCTCTTCCAAATCTTCAGCGGCGTGATTGACCGTTTGCTTGACAGATCCTGCAATGTTGCTGGTGATTTCTGTTCGTCCATTGTATCCATACCCTATACCTTGGCGTAGATTTGGTAGGAAGGATCCAGCGTCATGTGCCCGCGCTCGGATGCAATCCGCAGTCATGCACACTGCATCTTTCATTTTGTCCTAGATGCCACGGCCAGCCTCCCTTACCTCTTGAGCGGCATGCTCTGCAGTGATTTTCACCTTCTCGGCTGCATCAGTTGCGGTGTTCGTTGTCTTGTCCACTCCAGAGAGAACGCTGCCAAACACAGCATCCCGAGTTTTGTGCACGCCTTGAACGCCTTTATACACCTTGTCCTTGGCATACTCCGCAACGCCGGAGGTTCTCTCTTTCGCTGCCTGACCGACATCATACACTTCGTGCACGGCGCCTACAACAATCTCACGCAGTTTTTCCTTTACATATCCAGTTGCATCGTGGATTGTGTCTCCCGCTACCCCAACTTTCTCGCATGTTTTATCCTTGGCTGATTCAAGAGCTTCGGCTGCTCTGTCGTGGATTTCCTCAGCAACTTCCTTTTCACTCATCTCAGTCTGCATCACAAGAAAATACAACCATTGTGACTTTCAAGACGACATACTACCAAAACTTGATTGTGTTTAAGTAGACCCAACTGTTTTGATTATGATACAAGCTGGTTCTGAGCAGATAGTACAGGCTCGAGCTTGAAAGTGCTCGGAAACAGTTCCCAAAAGATTTTGAGAGATGCTCACTTCCCGCAGTGCAGACTCCGCTTTGTCTCTAGCAGCGGCGACAACATCTTAAGTTGAATCTTTCACAGATACTGCTTTGTTGTGCACAGCACGTGCACCAACTTCTTCCATTTCCTGCGCAGTTCCAACTACGTTCATGGCAGCTTCGGCCGTTTGTGATGCTTTGTCACCCGCGTACTTCCCTGCATAATGACATTAAGTAAAAACTCTCTCTTCACATTATTTTCCAAAGCAAAAACACATTTAATAACTCACAATGCAGAAACTGAAACTTGGGAATGCAGCTGTATGGTGAATGTCGACATAGTAACGCCTTCCAACCTCGGCGTAGATTAAGATGAGAGAATTTAAAGTCCATTCCTCTTAGAATTGCATCAAGACAAGCGACATGTCATCCTCTCGATTAGATATAGTTCATAAATTCCCATCGCTTCCGTATCTCCTTCAATCTTGATGTACGTCAATTAAAACGCGATCCAATAATTTTTGGAAGCAGCTTGCAATATTTCTTGAAGTAAACGAGGAATTTATATTGTTCAAACGGGGGGACCGATGAATACGCATTCACGTAGTTCTAACCACGACACGTTGGTATTACATTTCCCTGTTTCGAGAGTGAGCAATGTGCAAGATTGTAAAGAGAACCTGATAAGGAAGCAGTGTTGCACTTGGGAGGGTAGTTTCTCCAGAATGGCATCAGCAGGGGAACTTGGCCTTTCCGCCACCGCGCCTTTGATCTGTGCTTCCGCCTCTTGTATGGCCTTTTTCGCAAGCGCGGCTTTCTCTTGGCAATAGCAAGGTGATCCTCCGACTTAGGCTTCTTCCGAAACCACCCCATTCATTTTTCCACTGGTTTTGTCAACGCCTTCCCTCTATTCTCCAATGGATCCTTACCCGCCCCTGCCTTCTCCTCCACCTTCAACACCGTCACAGTTGCAGCGACTTTCATTGTTCCCAATGGGCTCTCGTCATATTGTGATGACTTCACAAGCATGATCTCCGGCGACATCAACATCACTGACCCTACCGCAGTCAGCAGCATCGCCATTGCTGCAACGTTCATCGTGGCACTTGCACCTCCTCTCCTTCGATTCAATCTCCAAGATCCAACTTCCATGTCTGGAGCTTTCAGAACCTCTGTACCTGATTGCAAACTCGCATCGCAACACCAATTCTTGGCATTTCAAACCACAAAACACCTTCTAAGACAACAGTCCCAACCATGTTTCGCTTCATTCGCATGAGGTCCTTGCTTTCCATGTCACGAGAGTACATTTTACTTCTTGGTCTCTTCATCTTCCTAACAAGTTGCTCATGAGGAACGTTGCATCCATGATCTTTCGCCCACGCTTTATCAAGCCAAATCTATTACTGCCAATGAAATCACCTCAAGCACCAAGTTTGTGGAATTCAGACGTTTTCATTGTTACACCAGCAAGAGGTACGTGCTGCTCTTCAAACATTCCCACCAGCATTCACGAAATATTTCAGTCGAAGACCAGCACCATGAACACACTTCAGCAGAATCAATCGAGCACCCACAATTTATCCACAAAACACAGCAGCTTCCATCTAAACCTTGCAAAGCAAGTACCCAAATTTAGCATGAGAGAGATTACAAAGTTGACATGAAGCCGGACCGCACCCGGAAACTACAAGGCCAAGAATGCTAATCCATCCTTTGTAGGCAATTAACTGCTGATCACCAGCCTAATCCTGCACAGGAAGATCTCCCTTCACATGAATTTGCGCGGGAGGAGAGGCGCGCGGGATTTCCAGTGACCCAAGGGTAAATGGAGCGCTGAACCGCGCGAAGCAGACTGCGCAGTTTGTTTTGCTCGCCAAAGCTTCATAAGGCTCGTTGTATCCTAAACTGGGATGCCATCTGAATTGTGGTCCTCCCGCCAAATCTACCGGGCAGTTTCATATGGCGACGCTTGGCCGTAAACTTCTGACGTGGACGAACGGAGTTCAGTTTTATGGATGGTAATTATAATTTCCTCATTGGGCCTGGTACTGTATTAAGCAATTCTACGTCATTCATTGGTAACAGGCTTGTGGAGATATGGCTAATGATCATTTCTTACTAGTTTATCAATTTTTATTATGATGTCTTGACTTATTGTAATTGGGTCATATATTGATTATACACGATAATAGATAAGAGGTAAATGTACACCAATTTCTGTTATCTCACAGCTGAATAAAGGAAAACTTTTAAAGGTATTTTCCTGGTGTTGAGTTTGTTATCTAATTAACATTTTTCAAAGTGTTGTGCATAGAATTTCATCTTAATTTCTCAGTAGGTACAATATACACTATTTTATTATATGTTTTGATGTTTATTTTAAAATTATTATTTTTTCATTTTTTTTATCTGTAATATTTTCCCGAGCCTTCTCCTTGGGTCTTCAATTAATACATTTATATAAGAACATATAAATACATGGGTTATTTCTTGAACTATTTAGAATTTCTTTTTTTAGTATTACTTTTGATTAATTGATTGCCATGTAATCATGGCAATTCAAAATTAGTTTTGATGGCTAGATGCCAAAGTAGATATGTTGAATATGATTTTGTTATTGTCCTTATAGTTTTCATGCTTGAAATGTATGTGTAATTCATAAAGTTTCATAACTTTGAAGGTAAGAAGTATTTTTAATTATTAGAATTTAAATTTTTATATTTCCATGTTTCGTTTTGATAATTTTATTATTAAAACTATACATATATTGAAATATTTTCTAAAGAACATAATAAAAAATTACATATAAGTATACATATCAAGAATAATTACAAGATCGAAAAACATAATAATGCTAACAATTGTTTTAAGACTTTTATCAATAAGGTTGAAATGCACATTGTTGTTCTTATTTACATTGCATAACTTATATATCTTCATTAAATAAATAAAAAATGTTATAGAAGTCCATAAAACATTTTATAGAAGCTATTTAAAATAATAATAGAAGCTTTCTATAGATTATGAAGATTAATAAAATTTTAGAATTTAATGTTATCTTATATATATATATATATATATACACATACTTACACAATAAATCTTGTAAATATATAAATAATAATATAAATTATTAAAAAATAATAAAAACTTTAAAAACATCATGAATATTTACAAAATTTTATTATAAATTGATATTAAATTCTAGTAAAATCACTATACATTTTAGCAATAAATTTTACAAAGAATCATTAGACATTTTTTTTTCCTAAAAAATATTTAGAATATTTAATATTATTGATTGGAAATTATCCTTCCATCAAAAAAATCTTTGTATTTCTTCTCAGTATTATAAAATAATTTGCTATAAAATTATCTATAGTAATTTAGAGATTTTTACAATTATTAGAAAGGCTTGAAAAATAACCTTAAACTTAGTAATTAGTTTAAGTTATTAAGCCTTTATATACTAGCTTCAAACTTTGAAAAATCAACCAAAAGATTGTAAGAGAATAATAAGAAGTAGAATATATTTTTTTCTTATATACTATAAATAGTATTATCTTTTGGAATTTGAATAAGACTCTCTATAATACATAGTTTATTAAAATTTAAGAAGCCATATCAAAAGTTACTAAAAATTCTCATAAATTATATATTTTTTATATTTACCAAAATTAGTCAAAATTTTGAAGAGTTTATTTATATTTATGAACATTCACATTGAGAATTACAACTAAAAAATATTTTGGTTTAATTGATGACATGTCTTAATTTGTACTATTTCTAATGGCCAAAGTTTTATAAGATAAGTTTTCTTCACTAAACAAAAGAGCAATATTAAGCTTTTAAATCACAACTTTTAAAAGTGGGGTTGTACATGTAAAGAATCCTTTAATGATAGAACATTTACACTATTAATTACATTACATACACACACACACACACACACACACACACACACATATATATATATATATATATATATATATATATATATAATTTGTAAAATTACTAAAAATTAAGCTTAAACTCACATATACCATTATAAATATTTAATAATTGATAAAGTACAATAATAATATTTTATTTAATTTTAATTTTTTGTATATTTTTATTTTTAAATTTTATATAAAGAAATGTTAAATTGATCCATCTATTATAAAAATCATTAAAAAATAAATCATCACCAGATTATTCTAATATGCATATAAATTAGAAATTAAAAAATAAATTGTCAAGGCACACTTTGTCATTACAACCATTATTAGAAGATCAATTTGAACAATCAAAGACACTTGTACTTAGATGCTTTACCAAACTTGAGACCAACTTTGCAATCATGTGTAAAATAAGTAGATTTCTTCTTGCAAAAGATAGAAGACTATCTATTACTCCAAATTCTATTTGATTGTTTTTTTAATAATTAATTTTGACATAAAAAGTGATTAGGAAAAAATATTGTACAAAATATATTTGTGCATTTTATACCACTAATTACACTAATGATTGATAATCAATAAATAGAATCACTCCTTCACTCTTGTGATTATGTTCTTTGGTATATTGTGCATTGCAAGCATATATTTTTTTTGCAGACTGTAGTGGACTTGTAAGTAAGGCAAGAGGCTAATATGTGCTACCACAAAGCCTAGTTGCCACTAGTTCTTTTCTTTATTGCACCCAAGATTAGTTGCTTTTCACATCAATTCATTTTGATAGATACACTAGTTTAGATACATCTATTATGAGCTAAATTAAATTTAAGTTTGGATTGAACTGTGTATGATCAATCATTAATTTGTGACACAACTAGTAGACAAAGATGAATCAAACAACTTGCTTGCTATATCTAGTATCCACATAGAACATCACAAAAAAATCCATAATTTTGCAATCTCCAATCTCTATCAACTACATCTATTGGCTCATAAATTCCAACAATTCCAATATAGATCACAAATCAAAATTAGTAAGACAATATTAACTCCATAAATTATAAAAATGTACACACTGCCAAACTCAATCCAAAAACTAAATTCCACATTTAAGTCTTATGTCCACAAAATCAAATATGGGAAGTAGAAAGAGAGAAATGATGCCAACAAGCTCAAATCCAATAATAAAAAATAAAATCATAAGCTTCAATAAAAGCTCTATAAGAAAGAAAAAAGAAAAAAGAAAAAAGAAAAAAAACACAATTTCACCAATAAAACTTGATGTAGGCATGTTATGAAAGACAAAAGCTTCCAAACTAGCATTGATCTTAGTTACACATAGCAAAAATTCAACAATATAAATCAAAACTATATCCAAAATTATATATGAATTTAAATACTTTTAAAGCATCAAAGCAAACATTGATATCTATGACTTAACCAAAGTAGTTTTAGTTTGATGTCTATGACCAAGCCAAAGTAATTTGGATTGATATCTACTACTCAATCAAAGTAATTTCTCTATATGTTAAGGACAAGAATTTAATGAAGGAAAATAAATAAGTAAGATTTTTCTCAAAAAAAGATGATAAAATAATAAATAAATACATAAATATATATATATATATATATATATATATATATTAGAAAGAAACTATGATAGCTATTGCCAAAAGATAAGAAAATTAAAGATCCTTCAAACTGAGGAGAATGAAAAAGACTTCATTCTTGCCTCTATAAATACTGTCTACGTAAGGGCTAAGTAGCAAAGTTCTATAAGACCTCTAATACATGTTCAATTTGCAAGATACATGTATTAACTTGCAAGGCAAGTTTCTTATATATATACTACATCATTAGCTTATACCACAAGCTATTGATACATGCAACATGTGGCTAATTTTTTGGCCAAGTTTTTAATCTATCAATCAC